TCTCCTCTGGTAGCCCTGTGACTGTAGCCCAGGTTCTGTGAGAGCCTCCCACTGCCCTGCAGGAGGGCCCCAAACATCTCTCTCGTGGTGACACCTTTCAGTGACTCCTCAGCTTTTCCTGGTCCAGAATTCTTCCTAACCTCTGATTCGCTTCCTTACAGCCAGAACTGCAACATTTTCTCTCCTGCCCTCCAAGAGATTTACTCTTCTCTAAGCCCTGTAGATTCCATCTCCTGAAAGCACGGGGCTCTGGAATGAGTCAAACCTGAATGCTGTCCTGATTTTTATAATTGGTGTAACCTAGAGCAAATGCGGGCATCTCTCAAATCATGTCTCAGCCATTTATGCATTGTGTGAACTTAACCTCCCTGAACCTGTTTTCTCATCTATAAAATGAGGATAATACTAGTACTTAAGTCTCAGGACTGTTGTAAGGATCAATTGAGGGATACAGGTAGCCCTGGCCAGTGTGACTCAGTTGGAACATCGTTCCATACACCAAAAGGTTGGGGGTTTGATTCCCAGTCAGGGTGGGTACAAAAAACAATCAATCGACATTTCTCACATAAATATTTCTCTCTCTCTAAAAATAATCAATAAAGGGGGACATATGTAATACTTTCAACAGTAAAGATTAAAAAATAAAAATACAGGGAGCAACAATAAAAAATGCACCATGTCTAAAAATAATAAAAAATAAAAATCATTAATAAAAAGTGAGGAATGGAGGTAAAGTGCCTCACACTTAGAAGGTGTTACAGATGATCAGCTCTGTGATTTTTGGAAACATTTTTTAAATAATTTTTTATATATATTTTATTGATTTTTTACAGAGAGGAAGGGAGAGGGATAGAGAGTTAGAAACATCGATCAGCTGCCTCCTGCATGCCCCCTACTGGGGATGTGCCCACAACCAAGGTACATGCCCTTGACTGGAATCGAACCTGGGACCCTTCAGTCCACAGACAATGCTCTATCCACTGAGCCAAACCAGTTAGGGCGCAAGTTTTGTTTTTTTTAAACAAACCCCAAACCCCGATCTTCCTAATTGTAGCTATATCTCATGGTTGTTATTTTAAGTGAGTTAATCCATGTAAGGTTCCTAGCCATGCACCCAAATCTATTGTAAGAATTCGATAATTATCAGTTGTTATAACTCCTAACCACCATGTTGCCTAGCCTTCTCTGGACAGGAAAAGTCCCTTCATTCACCTCGGTGGATGTTATCACCTCCTATCCACCCACCCCTAACTTTGCCTGTGTGGTTATCCAGTGAGCAGTTTGTCCTCTATCCTCCCCAGTCCTCTGTTGTAAATTGGTAGCACAAGTTCACTGTTCTGTCCTGTCAGAGGCCAGGAGTTAGTTATTGTGTTTTGGGTTTACACTGTAGCTTGAAAGGCTTGTAGCAACCTCCATGCAACCACTCAAACCCATGTACAAAAACCTTGCTAACTCTTATTTTTCTCATTCATAAATGGGCATAATAACTGTGCCTATCTTCTAGGATTGTTGTGATTATAGTACCATAGAAGATCCATGGCTGTAACATGGTAGCAAGTGCCTTGCAAAGAGTATTGTGGCTACTACTTACTAAGCCAGGTTTTTGTGTTTGGGTTTGTGTGCTTGCCTGGAGGTTGCCACAAGCCTTGGCAGCTGGGAGTAAACAAAAAACACAGTAACAAACAGGTCAAGATAGTGAACTCAGGCCATCTATCAACCTTGTTTGGGAAGAAGATTGGCAAACATTTTACAGCACGGGCCTGGGGTGGAAAGGAGACAAACTGCCCGCTAGACAACCACACAGGCACAATTAGGGCCAGAAATGAAAGGTGGGGGTTGGTAACACCCACTTGGGTAGGTGGGGGGGGGCTTTCTTTGCCCAGAGACAAGGGAGAATAGGTGACATTTAACGAGTATGTGCAGTGTGTGCATGCGTGTGTGTGTGTGTGTGTGTGCGTGTGTGTGATATGATAAGAGATTACAGAGCTGGTTGTGAGAGTGTTGAGAGCAGAGAGCTGACCTTGACACCTGACCTGAGGGGAATGGGCCCATGGATAGAGACAGCATTGTGGCAGATATGGGATTTGAAACCAGGTGCTTCTGCCTCCAAAGCCCATGCTCTTAGCCATTATAATATTGATGCTTGGCACAGAGTAGGTACCCAATAAATATTTGTTTAATGAAAGAATTCATATTGCTGCCTCTTTCTGGAAAGTTTTTTCCCTCCATCTCTAGCTGGGCCCAGCTCAAATCTAGCCTCATGTTCAACCGGTGTGCCCTCTCTGTTACTATGGGGTGCGGGAAACAGGAGGCATCCGTGCTGGGGTCTGAAGTATGGGACACTAGGATGGAGCTGGAGGAAAGACTCTGGGTTTTGCACAGACATTTTTCTTCTGAGTTTGTACACTAGTTTTGAAGTTGTTATTAGGACTGAATATACCCAGCACAAAGTAACTCACACTGGGCTCTGATTAGAACAGTAAATTCCAATTACTTAGCAACCATGTGTACAGAGGACTGGAGCAATTTTTGAACTATGAAATGCTGGGAGCTTAGAACCCAAAACAAGGATTTTAAACGGAACACTGAACATGTTAAAGTACTAATCCCCATTAGACTTCAGATCAGTTTTATTTTAACCCTTGGAATAGTGGATTCCAAGTAGCCTTCACACAATCCAGGAACCCCTGGCAGGTGCCTTACAGAATGGAATGGAGAGGCTTTGTTTATAAGAGAGAGGACACCATGGTGGGAATTCTATGGTTCCCCCCACCCCCCATTGTGGCTTCCTTGAGAACAGCTCCAGCTCTATTTGGTTTGTATATGGAACTTCTACATTCAATTCAAAGGAAGGGTGTTCCTACTAAAGCACAAAAAATAAGCTTTGAAACCTCTGTCCTAAGAAGACATATTTGGCCTCTGTTTTGTGTTTTCTTTTTTAATGAGGGGCAAAAATTGAAAAGATGCTTTGACTGATAAACCATCAAATGGTGCCAGGGAGATCAGGTGGAGATGACTGACAAATCAGTCATTAGTTGAGTAAACCAGTCATTAGCTGACTTGAGCCTATAAAGTTCATTTCTGTTATAAAATTAATAAAACCACTACTGCAACTATGATTACTATGACTGCAACCACTTATTTAGTGCTTTTATTATGTGCTGAGGGCTGTGCTAAAGTACTTTACATATATTATTTCATTGACTCATGCCAACCCTGAGAGGAAGTGCCATTATTTTCCCCATTTTACAGATGAGGAGACTGGACCTCAGCGTGGATAAGTAACTTGCTCAAAGTCATTCAGCTAGCACATGGTAGATTCCACTTTACTTACAAGCACAAACAGAATCAACTAAAGCCATATAGCAGTCAAAGGTCAACTGCCTGGCAGTAAAAAGGAACAAGGTTAAATTTTTACCAATAGATGGCACCACTGTATGAATTTGATTGCCTACTCAAGGCTGAGTCCAATTCAAGGAAGTCCCAGCAGGGTTCAGAACTGAAGTAGCCTGTCACAAGTTGATGGAAGAGGGAAGGAAAGATGGCTAGCATTTTATTCTTGAATCAGACTGCGTTACTCTGTCCTGTTTGTAGCTAAGCAAAGAAATGGGAAGCCAGCAAGGGAGAGGACAGAGGAATTTCTGTCAAGAACTGCTTTAAAAAGACCTTAGAATCTTTTTTCTTCAACATTTCCTGAGTGCCTGCTTTGTGCTAGGCAGTGTGCTATGCAATGAAGTCACGTGGAGATATTAAACACAGCCTTATCTTACTGCATAAGAAGAGGGTGGATGCTATAGTAAGGGAGGCACTGAACGTAATGGGGACACCCAACCTAGACTCAGAGGTTTGGGAGGCTTCTCACAGGAGAGGTGTCTAAGCTAGTCTTATTGGTTGAATGGGAGTTTATCAGACAGATAAAAGTGGAAGAGCATTCCTATCATAGACTTAAAGCTACAGACGTGAAAGAAAGCATGACACATTCAAGGACAGGCAGCATAGGTTTTAAGTGTTGAGAGATGAGTCTGAAGAGATAGGCAAGTGAAGAATAAGAGATACAAACTTCCAGTTATAAAATACATCACAGGATATAGTGTACACCATGGGGGAAATAGTTGATAATATTGTGATACTTTTGTATGGTTTTAGATGGGTACTAAACTTATTGTGGTGATCACATTGTAAGGTAGATAAATGTCAAATCACAATTTTGTACACCTGAAACTAATATAGTATTGAATGCCAACTCCATTTTAATTTAAAAAAATTTTTAAAGAGAGATAGGCAACAAATAATTGGACAGCTTGGAATATCAAGTTAAGGAACTGATTTGTGAATATATGAGTAGAGAGGCAATAGATTCTCAAGAGGATCTGTGATTTTTTTTTAAAGGAAACATTTTCAACTATTGGTGAGGCAATGAAGAGCCATAGTTGGCCTTTAAGCAGGGGTGCAACCTGATCTGATCTGGTGGCCACTGTGGAGGATGAATTGCAGAGGAACATGCTTGAGCATGAAAATTACCTGATGCGAGTACTTGGGACAAGGGCAAGGCATGAAAGCCTGAATTGCAGAAGTAAAATTGATAGGACTGAGTAGCCCCCTAAGCTCTCCTCCCCATATGCATACACACATTTCCAAGGCTGAACTAAGGCTGCACCTCTCACCCTCCTACACCAACTCATAGCTCTAATCCTAATTTTCAAGCTACATTTTGGGGGCCTTTTTGCCCCCTTTCCATTATGTCTTTGAAGTTTAATATAGCCTGATTTCACAAGTTGACATAGAGGGCCTGGCCTGTGCTGGGGCCTCTGGCCTTACACCCCATCTGTAAACTGACCTTAGCTAGAGCAAGAATTGGCCTTGAACTGGTCTCTGACCCTGTGCCCATGGCCTCAAAACATGAACAGAGTTCGGTTAAGAAATCAGCAGTTACAGGAAAAAGGCAAACATCATCTAGTTTATTTTTCTCCTGATTCATCTCATGCCAACAGAGACCCCAGTTGATAGCAGCCAAAATGAGGAGAGGTCCCCAAAGCAAGCTGATTCTCTAGATGCCCTCCCTCCTGCTGCAAGGCCCATCAGAAAAGCATTTCAACTCTGCTTAAATGTGTTAGTATCCCTGGAGGAGAAGCCTGAAATGAATTTTTCCACAGGGAGACAGGACTACACGGCCACCTGGAAGGCTGGGGAGTCAAAGAGCTCCAAAGAGTGACTGTTCCCCTCTACATGGGCATGGTTTGGTCTGATCTGCTTCCTGGGGGCTTCAGAAAGCAGATCTTCCTTCCCCTATAGCTACCTGTACCTTCCCACTGTCAACACAAAAGCAACCCAGACAATGAGATGCCAGGGATCTGTATTCACAGTCCATTTGGGTCCTCAAGTACCAACTTACCCTGGACCCAACTTTCAATCCAGAGAGCTGCACCTGGAGATTCCTGGCTGATCAATGCCCTGGAGCCTTGCCAGGCATACAAAACCTTAATCAGACTCTGGCTCAGTTTGAACAGGTCAGGGATGGGGAAGGAGGATGACTTGTGACTCTGTGTGGTGCTAACTTTAGTATTCTCACACACCCTTCTGGCCCCTTTTTATTTGCCTCCTTTTTCTCCTACTCTTCTTAGTCCTCCTCCTCTTCTTCATCTTCCTCCTCCTCCTCCTCTTCACTGTCTGAGTCTTCATACAGATTGATGGTTGCCTGGACAGGGAAGTTCTGTAGTAAAATCTCCCCATAACTGTACAGGTAGTCAAAGGAGCGGGATTTGGGCCAGAAGAGCCTGTGGACAGAGAAGAAACATGGCCCCTACCTTAGACAGGTCTCATATGTACAGAGGGGTCAGTAGGACCACAGAGGAAGCCAGGCCCTAAACTCCTCGTCCTACCCACAATAATGGCGTGAGAGAGAAAGGAAGAAAGAGAGCTTTATAACAGAATTTTCTGAATTGTTACAAAATGGCTCCAGGCAGAAAGGTAACATATGGTGGGCCTATAACTGTGGGGATCTGCAAACCCAACATCTATCAATTCTGACACTGATTTCACACTCACCTCAGAAGGCCTTTACCCAAGAAGTATGTATATTTCTCCTGTATTCCCCATCTCCTACTAAGGTTCCTTCACTGATCTATCCATAAAGGCTCATTCTTAGGAATCATTGACAGTGCCTCCAGGGAAGGTAACCTTGACAAAGTCCCTAACCTCTCTGGGCTTCAGTTTTCTGGTTTATGAAATAGTGATCATAGCAGTGCCTCCCTCCTCCTGATACACAGGCTGTTGTGAGGATTTAAAGAGCTAATGAACCTATGTAAAGTTATGAGCTTGGTGCCAGAAGCTTACCTGACGGGGTGATGGAACTTGGAGTCAGCTTTGATGACCTCAGCACTTGTTGCCCCACCAGTGGCCTGTTCAAAGCAAAAGCAAGCATGTGGCTCAAAGTACATGGCGAAATAACTGCCTCCTCTGTATCAGGGGTCAGAAACCTGCAGGTAAGATGATCTAGAAAGAGATCTTAGACATCTTTGGGGTCCAGCCCTTGCCCCTCCCCCACCAAAGGGGTCTGTCCTGGTTTTGGTTGAAAAGCTAGTGGAAAAGAGTCCTGGGGCTTGTTAACTTTCCTGTCCCTGTTCTAACACATGTTTGGAGACTGTCCAGGGGACAGAGTTCTACTGGAGCAGCAAAGATTTGGGGGCAGGGGTGGGGGAAGAGCACTGGGGCTAGGTGCCAGGAGACCAGGATTCTAGCAGCAGTTCTACCATAGCCTAGCTTTGGGGCCTGCTCATACCCTCCCCTACTTTGGGCCTCAGTCTCTCTATCTTTAAATTGCACAGAAACTTCAGGTCTGCCCTCCTTCTAGAGCTGTTGTGAGAATCAAATATGAGCAAGGCTGCAAAGATGGTTTCCCAGATCTATAGACCTGGACTGAGGCCAGAGGCTCTCTGGGAAGGGACCTGGTCAGTGTGAATGGAAGTGGCTACATGCAAACATGTGTAACAGGGGCTCAAACTTACCAAATGTACAAGTTTCCTCACCTGCCTTGGGAGATCATTTGTAGAGCACAGCCAGGGCCTCCAAAGACAAGCCCCTCTAGGACGTAGAGGAGAGATCGTCAGTGGAGGAAGGAGACTGGAAACTAGACTCTCTGAGATAACAAAAAGGCCTCCAAAAACACTTGACTTGGATGCCATTTACCTCAGGAAGCCTTTCCTAAGGAACCTGAGCCCAGGTCAGGACAGAGCCCTTCCTCTCTGCTTCAACAATGCTATCATTACTCTTATCACAGTTTTGTAACTGTTTACTTGCCTTTGAGCTTCTTTAGGGCAGATTTATGTTTGATCATATCTGGATCCCCAACACCTACCACAGTGCCTGGTACACAGTAGACATTTCAGTAAATATTTGTTGAATTCCTTAAATATTTGGAGGAATGAATGAGGGTTGGGTGGAGAATATCTTACCCCCTACTTCCTGTTCCAAGAGGCAGAGGTCAGAGTCCTCCCACCTTCCTGGGATGGGAAAAGGGGCCAGAAATATTCCTGGGTCAACTGTTTCCCCACTAGACTTCCAGAAATAGGGGGGGAAGCAAATGGAAATCTTATAGTGTGGTCAGGAAATAGACACTCCCCCAAAGGCCTCTTGAGTTTGGTCC